CCCCCATCCCCGTAACCTCGATAAATATCCCAGAACTGTCACTCCAAGCCACTGTGCAAAGTTACCGCGCTCATTATCGATTGCACGATGAGAAGCGGAGCAAGCGAATGACTGCTTACAAATTCATCCAAGCAAGGATGATGCAGCGATTGCCATCATCGCAACGATGCCCACGTGTTTTTTTTTTTGCACACCGCGTATACCAGGTCGAGAGGACGCACCTGAATAATGTGCTGGGACAGCAGGGGTTGACGTTTGTCGTGGCGGTGCCTAGCGTGCTGTCGTTCCACCTACCAGCCTAACGTACAACTCCCCATCCTCCCCCCTTGCCAACCTGCCAACCATACCAAAGCCTCGTTTCCCGACTTCCAGCAACGTTCGCTTCGTCCTGCTCACCAAGACTCATAATTGTCCCCGTCCGAGCTGGCATATCGCGGAAGCAAACGGGGGACACGAAAGTGGTTATGCGCATTCCTATCCACCGTGCAGGATCAACGGAGGCGGGAGGGCGAGCACGAGGGTCATCGGTAGCGATGGCCTCAACACGGATGCCACTCTGATCAAGAGCTGTTTCGATTTAGTTTACTAGTTGTCGGTATAGCTATAGATGGACCTTTCTAGTTTGACAAGGAACGCCGCAGCAATACTTGTTCTCGGTACCAACGATCATGGTTCTCCTAACTCTCGCTTTGTAACCACAATGTATCTCGTATTTGCTAGGAAACGATCGTCTCGTCAAACTATGCGAAAGACGGGATAGAACATCTCTTTACTGGGATACAGTAAGGTATGGAATGGACAGTGAGAGACCGTGGTGGAACAAGCATTAGCAACTTTAGTTCCTTTGGCAGCGTTAGCAACATCGACGTGGTCGATAGTCGTGCAGGTTTTAAGAAGATTCTATAAGCTTGTGGCGTCATGTGTCGTCGGTTTGGTGAGAACTATCGTTGGAGATGGAACAGCTGGATCAAGAAATGCTCCTTCTGTGCTATCAGTTGATATTCCCGGCTTCCTGTTAGGGACACAGTTTGCTACGAAAACGATGATGTTTCCAAGTGTCGAAGATAGAACAATTCTCCTCGAGGGATACTCCTTTGGTACCATCGGATGTCTCTTTTTGCTTCGAAGAGAATTCTCAAATTTTTGGATGCAACGTGTCCAGATCCGATGAAGAGAAACGATCTTTGGGGATATCGTAGATAGATCGATGATCCTGTCTAATGTCACTGCGATTGTGCAAGATTAAAGATGTACGTTTAATTATACTGTATCGTAACATAGTACTCCTTGGACATTTCTTCGACATTTCGAAGAATCCGATCGATCGTTCATCGATGAAAAAAAGTCTCATTTGCCGAATATGAAAATCTTCTTCGAGACATCGCGATATATCGGGAGACACCAAGAGGACAATTTTACTCAGAAGATCGCGATCCAATGGATTCGAATACCCATCGCTAGTAATGAGGGGATAAGGTCGATGGTCCCCTAACGGTTGAATACTTGAATATTGATTAAGCATGCACATCGCGATTACTGGAAGCAGGTAAAAGCAGCGGTCTGCGTGTCTCTGGATATTTATAACGAATGCCTCTGTCTGTCTCTCTTCGACTTCCTGCGAGCCAGAAAAACTTCGACTTCAAGATGTGCAAAACGAATTTCACCGGCGATCGACTTTCGAAGATTAACTTTCGACTCATTGTTCCGTCGCGGTTTGGCCCACTTCCACGCAGCTCCTGTATTTCTATTTCAAACAGGGAATTTAATATCCTTTGTTACGTTTCTAGACCTCGCATAGCTGACGCACTCTCCATTAGCCGCAACTCTGATCGAGAAACTTGAGAAGACCTGGCCTTCCCCTACTTGCCTACTTGTAACTGAGAATTGGTACTCGGGATTCGTAGTTTGGCCTAATCTGCAACCATTAAACGCTACAACAGTAGGAGACTGGCTGTAGTCTCGAGGACTAATCCAGAGACTGAAATAAGTTACCGTAATTGTTGTACATTGTTGGTGTCCTTCGCATTCCTCTTTTTTATCAGAAGACTTCTCGATAGGTTTAACGAATTAATTTAACATATTCGTCAAGCATATTACTGACGCATATGTTGCATCACTCGAATTAATGTCTTCGGTATAGCACGGTGGGATTCTTGTCTTTTTGCTTGTTAACGAAGAAACATTGGACAAATTTAACACGTCGTAATACTATAAAAATGGCCAGCTTGATCTTATTGACCTATCCGATGTGGAACCGTTAATACCAATTATCGACTCGGTAATACGTTATGCTGATAAAAAATTCGCGATCCGAGGTTCCAGCATCACGTGACCGACTTCCGTGGCCGTTGGCCATAATCATCCGCCTCTCGACGGTGAAAAAAGCGCGGTAAAACAGAACGGAAGAGCAAAAGCCCTCGAGTTTTGAATATTCAGTAGGTACATCCTGGTCGGTTTCCACCTGACCCTCTTTTCACGGCGAAAATCGTCACGTTCTGGCTCGTCTTCGACGCCCTTCCGTCTCTAAGCCTTTGACGAGCCGGTGACGTTGTTACTTATAATTAGTTGATGGTCGCCGAGCGGAAACAAAGACGTTGAGAATGATCAGGCTGACGTAAGATCGGAATTTCGGAGTCATCGATCCGATATGTCGGTAAAACAGACCCAAGGTCCGCGATAATCACGCGACTCGTCGGTAAAAGCAGAGATCGATCGGTAACGAAATCTTCGAGGGTAAGTTATAAGGTCGGTAAGAATATAAAAAGTAGATTTCTACATTTTGTCGCAGCTGGCAAGTGGATATCTCTTCAATGGAATTCTCATCGTTTTCTAAATCGAAGTAACAGTCGATTGATACAAGTTGGAAATCTCTATTTATAAAATAACAAAGAAGCAAAAGAAGCTAGATTATCATCGTTATTAGTTGCTAGAAAATAAAGAACGACTCACCAGGATAGTTGCAGTCGTGTTCATCGCTTCCGTCGTCGCAATCCTGGACGAAGTTGCATCGCTGCGAGTCCAAGATACACCTAGACACGTCGCAGGCGAATTCTCCGGGGCTGCAACCTGTAATATCGATCGATTTCTTACTTCTTACGAACGTACGAACTGTGGATTCTTTTTGCGCGCAAAGGGACAACGAAAATTATCAAGATAAGGAACATTTGATACTCGTGTAGGTACAGTTAGTCTATGTAAAAGTACTGTCGTTATGAGTAAGCATCTACGTAATCGGGAGACAACATCTGTACCTGGATGGGGACAACCATCTTCATCATCACCATCGTCACAATCTTTCACGCCGTCACATTGCTGTACAGAGCAGATAGAACGACTTCCATCTCTACAACGAATTGTGTCGTCGGCACGACATTTGCTAGATATCGAATCAACTCTGTTTATATCTCCATCGTCTTCGTTTGGTACAGCTCCCAAAATTTCGTGATGATCGGTTCTTGCGAAATCCCTGCTCGGCTCTGTCGTTGATCGTTTCGATGATTGGGAAGTGAATATAAATTATGAACATGAAGAGAGAAAAAAAAATATACGTATGTGAAAATAAGTAAATAATTAAAAATAAAAATCTTTCTAATAAAAAAAAAGAGGGAGGGAATTAGTTGAACGAGCAAACGAACGAATGCATCTGATATGGAACGATTTCACCAGTAGCAAAGAGCGATCTATGCCAGAAGTCCAATATGGCACTTATATTTTAGTGTATTTACAGCTACTGTGTTGACGATTACGACTGCTACTTACGCGTTGTACTCTCGGAGCAGCCCTCTTCGTCAGAACTATCCTTACAGTCGGCAATTCCATCGCATCGCCGCTCCAATGGAACGCATGTACCGTCTCTACACGTTAGCTCAGCTGACTGATCGCATTCCAGCTCTTCAAACCCTACTGTGGTTAGATGCGTATTTCGTGTGTTTGTGTGTAGGCGTGTTTGCAATCATCAGGTGGACAACAGAATGCAACAAAAAAAGATAGAAGAACGAAAAAGTGAAACGGAGCTCTAATACAAAAGATTCTACTTATAATGTAAAAGTACAACTAGCATGACACAATAACAGCATGCGGCGTAAGTGTGAAAATTGAATGGATCGATTCTTCCAGGCAAAGATCAACGCTAAGGCGTTCCTTCTATCTCGAGATTTTTTTCTTCTATGGTCATCGACCTGGGTGGTCTTCGAAGAGGAATCGATCATTCCACGCGTCAGCGTGTAGCGAAACCAAGTTACCTTGGAATATTCTGAAGGTAAATCCATCCGGACGCACTTGGACGTTGCCCAACGAGTGCATCTGCAGCTGTTTCTCGATAATGTACTGCATCTCCGTCTCATCAGCTAACGTCGAGCCGATGTCTAGAGTAACTTGCGACGTAAAGCTGTCAGAAGTTGGCCTGAACATCGAACAGGAATTATTATCGTACCTCGGATACCTATTGGCTGAGTCACTTTGACTCAGCTTCTTGGGCTACCTGTCTATTTCAGAAAAACATCTCTAGTGCCTTTAACGCTAGAACTACTACACCGGCCAAACTCACCGGTTTTACAATTTCATTTTAAAATTCCTACTTCGTGTTATATTTACTCCGCAATGACGTAATGACTTTCGCAACGATAACTGAAAGAATAATATAACGAATTTTATTTTGGTTTTTACGTATTCAATAGCAGTGAAAATGACCGGCACTTGTCAAAGTGTACAGGAGTCCTGTAATCCGTTTATCGAACCCCAATTAACTAGTTTTCTCGTTTTCTACAACTTGCCACGCGTTTTTCAAATTTTTATCGCGTATCATTCGATACGAGGATGTCAGTTATCAGGAAAATTCCGGATCGATCGCTGGATCGCTGGATGCTAACGCTGGAAATACCACAGCAGTGAAAATGACTGGTTCTACGATTTTATAAATGTGTCAACCCTCGTTTAGGGATCCCAGATGGATTAATAATAGCAAAAATGTACTACGTAACATGGAATTGCTTCTGTAAGATAATAAATCAATAAATATACAAATATTCTACTATTACGTATTTTTTGAAGACCAGTCATTTTGGTAGAAATAGCTTCGTGTCGACTATCGGTAGTTCTAGCGTTAAAAACACACGGAAATCAGTTGCTACGTGTTCCCGATGATATTACTCGTCACAATGTGATTGTTTTTTGAACCATTGCGGAACAATTCAACAACCTGTCACATTTCATTTATCCTTCATAGAATTTATCCTAAAACTTCAATCTCGCTTCGAATTTACCGAACTTTTCATTTAATTTTCCATTTAATTCGAAGTTATAGGACATACTCTTTATCATATTTCATCGTACGCTGCGACTTTCATACCGCGTAACAATCGTTCGAATCCAGTCTACGTACGATTAGAAGCTAAAAGCATTTATCTTTACAGTAAACGACGATAATACGCACGCGTTGCTACCGATAAGAACGTAAAGAGCGTCGGAGACTAAGGAAATCTGTTTCTCATAGAACAGAAGGATAGGAATAAATCGCACACCGAGTGACATTACACTCACGATATTTTAACAACGTTGACGTGGTGATTTTCGTTGGGAATGTCACGGTTCAGCAACTCCTCGAGCGGCTGCGTCAGATTGCCACTGAGTTCCTTGTACTCTCTGCTGCTTCTGTCCGCGTATTCCCTCCTGTACGGTTCTCCAACGGTCAAGGTTATTCTGTAGAACCCTGAAAAAGCCACATTGAAATTAGCAACAAGTGCAGGAAACTCCGGCTACCAAATCAATGAACCATAACAAACTGTTTGCCTACTTCTTTCTCTTCTGGAACCGTAATTAACTTTCGTATCAAACTCGGTGGCGCTGCCTTCAACTTCTCCAGATCCGGCTAGGTCTTCGTCGTCGGTGTTGCCAAAATTGGCTGGCTCCCTCCGACCCTCGGCCGCGTTCCCAACCTCGTTGTTCTGTCAACAACAACGACGATCAGAGCCACTATCGAACCAAAGATTTACGTATTTACTTCAACGTCGTAAGTTCTTGGATACCAACCTCGTCATCTTCGTCGTATTCCTCCGCGCTATCTCGGGTTATCCTTTCCAAATTCGAGCTTTGCGGCTCTTTGTCCTCGTCCGATTGAACTGGAGGAGCGTTGTTCAGCTCGTTGTCCGCGTTGTCGTCTTCGGATTCTGCAAAACGTTAGACAGTACAATTTCTGTAATACACGATAGAGCAGAATGTTTGGCGCAGTTGGAGGATCTGCATTTCTGCCAATTAGCCGACCCTTGCAACTAACGACGATGTTTAAACGTGTTTACTATGGGAAAAAGAACGATACATTACCTGGAGCTTCGGTAGTGGTAGTTGTCGATTCGGATGGGCCAAAAAAATCCCACAGCCCTCTCTTTATCCTATGAAACAAGGAGTCTTGTTGGCGCGACTCTATCAGCGGAGCCTCGCCGATGGACTGTTTGCCATCCTGGTCGAACACCAGATCGTCGTTCTGCAAACGAAAGAATCCATACGTAATCCAACTTTCTCAAACTCCTACAATCACATTTCAAGCGTCTTTGGAAACGCTTCCAGTGACTTTTCTATAGAAACAACGCTAGGTAAATAGAACACCAGGCGGCGCATGGGCTTTGCACTCTAAGCTAGTTGTATACTCGAAGGTCTACCTCTTAGGGAATCTCAGAAGATCATAAAAAATTCTTCCAACGAGGCTGTCGAATTAACAAATTCACATTACGCTAGAACTTCGTTTACGCAGCAAGGAAACTTTGCCCAGTGCTCGATTACATCGATGACACTTGTGCGAACGCGAACACCTGTTACATGAACAGGAAAGTTTGCAAAGTTTGTAAGTTTGAAAAATTGTATTTAATATTAAGCTAATTGATCGCTAATATTGACCAATTAATTGCGTTTGACGAGTATACACGTCGTCGTTCGTATTTAATCAGGCACTCGGTGACCTAACCCGATTTCTACAACTAAATACCGCGTGTTACGATCGTTCGCGGAGAGACGCGGTCGCTAGGAAAGCGCGTCAGCGAGAGGCGAAAATTCTCGCTATGATTCGGTTAATCGACGCCGCGAAATAGTCGTTCCCCTGTTTCGGTTAAGATAACAGAGGTGGTTCGATGAATGTAACACTGTACGTAATAAATCACCGTTTATTTCAACAACTTGTAAAGAAGATAGTTACGCTGGTGCGTATGTATAAGATGAGCGAGTGACTGATTCACGGGTGTAAACCCGGCCGAAGGATGTTGACTGTTCGAAGGATGGAAAATCAGTTGTCTTCGGAGACGATGCTGTGGCGGAAGAAAGCTAAGGATGGGTGTGTCTAGCGCACGGGACCATCGGATTTGTTGCTGACGATTTTGGCTAAGAGAGTGAGGGAAATAGGCTTCGTTGTTAATTGGTTAAAGGTTGGTGGACTAGGAAGGGTCTTAGCCGCCCTCGAGAGGAAGTGGTTAGTAGGAGGAAAATTGCATCGTACGTTAGGAAAACTAACTTTTCCTTGTCAAGCCGTAGTAGACAATGGTCTTTAGAAACGATTCGGAAAACGGATGTTTGTTGGGTCTGAAGGACCTTAGCTAGCAAATTACTGGGATTTATAACGGGTCTTTAAGAATATCGAGGGTACGCAGCGAAGATGAGCGGACATCTAATTCCCATCTGGCCCGCGATGTGTGGCCTGGTCTAGGTAGAGTGTACGCCGCAGTTAACTGGTTGATAAAGCGAATGCCGAACGAAGAGATCCGTTTGCTACGAGACGACGTAGCGGATCTCAATGTTGCAAAGATTCAACAACTGTACGCTATTGTATACATCTAATATACATGCGGTTGGCTGGTTAAAAGGGAAGAAGCGTTACAAACGAGGAAACCGCAGCAGCCAATGTACATAACGAGTGAGATTCGTCGAGTGTGCTCGAGTATCGCGCAGTGAACTCACGTGCGACTCATAAAGAACCAATTCTCACCTAAACACGCGATATAAATTCAGGATCAGCCGCCCATTCCACCGGCCGTGATTCGCTGGCCAGGGTTCGACGTCGCGGGTCAACGACGTCTCCTCCCTGTTCGACGAACAATACGCGCACGTATACACACAGAAAGGAAGAAGAGAAAGAGAGCGACAGAGAGTCCAAGCAGCGAGCATCGCCTGGCCGAGATAAAGTATCGTTACGCGAGAAAACGACTGACGAAGCTTATGCAACCGGTGTACCCCTGTCGATATTATGCTACGACGCGAATAACAAACCAGACGTTTGCTCGCCGATCTATACGTGACGAGTGGAGCGTTTGCTCCGACGAATACAGGATTCCCCTCTATCGAGTAGTTATGGAACATCCGTCGCGTTTTTCACCACCTAGTTTTCAGCGATCCTCCGCTCCCTTTCCCGGAGATCCACGAATCCAAGAAACTTGAGATGGAAAATTACGACGAATCAGACCATTCTTGGACGTATAGGACAGGAATTTGGGGATTTTGTTCACAACCAATTGCGGAATGAAAGGCTACAATTGCTTGGATAATGTTAGTTTACATTTTGGCTGTGTCTTATGCAACCAGAACAGGTACAGTCTTTTCCATTTTCTTCATAAGTAACTGCAAAATGAGAAAAGACTACAATTGTTTGAATGATATTAATGTATCTTTTGGCTGTGCCTTATGGAACCAGAACAGGTACAGTCTTTTCAATTTTCTTCATAACTAGTTGCAAAATGGAAGGCTAAAATTGCTTGGATGATGTTAGTGTACCTTTTGACTGTGTCTTATGCAACCAGAACAGGCTCAGTCTTTTCAATTTTCTTCAGAACTAGAAGGCAAAATGGAAGGATAAAATTGCTTGGATGATGTTAGTTTACCTTTTGGTTGTATCTTATGCAACCAAAACAGGTACAGTCTTTTCAATTTTCTTCATAAGTAATTGCAGAATGAAAAAAGGCTGAAATTGTTTGGATGATGTTAGTTTACCTTTTTGCTGTGCCTTATGAAACCAGAACAGGCCCAGTCTGTTCAATTTTCTTCAGAACTAGTTGCAAAATGGAAGGATAAAATTGCTTGGATGATATTAGTGTACCTTCTGGCTGTGCCTTATGGAACAGTTTAGGAATTTTGTTCACAGATAATTGCAAAACTGAAATTGATATATAATTAACATATATAATAATATATCACATATAACGACATGTACAATAATTAAGAAATGGCTAAAGGCTAAAATTATTTCAATGACATTAATGTACGTTTTAACTCTGCATTACAATCTCTCTTTTTTTGTTAATTAACAAAATTTAAGGAAGTTAAATGAACACGACGAAATGTTATAAAATGGCCAAGTTAAGATTAGTTAGACAAGACAATTCATTCGCAATTTCTTTTTCAATCAAATTACGTTATTAGATTCTATTTTTTGATGGTTACGAGGAGAAATTCTAAGAATTTCATTCCTCTTCCATCCAGTTCCCGCTAATTTTAATAATTAATTCTTCTCCCATCTAGTTCCTACGATCTTACGGAGTTTAAAGAAACTGAATATTTATAACGCTATTCTAAACTATAGTACTCTTTCTAAATCATGAAAAATACTTTCTCCCTTTCCGATTCGCGTAATTACTTTTTATGCTCCGTACCATGGCGCTACGATATGTACATTATTTATTTCCTGTCTACTCGTTAATTAAACTCACCGTATCATTATGACGCGAAAATGCGTTTTTTTCGTGGCGGCGGAATCAGTGGCAAATGGCATGATCCAACAGAAGCCGACCATCTGGCGGATCTTGCTAATCGCGACTAATACCTCAGAGTGTCGCGTTTCGTTGCGAACGCAGCTATGAGATGCGCTTGGTCACGTGACCGGAAGCGTCCATATAACTTCCTGTCTGTACCCTGCTAAATTCGTTTCGAATTTCTTTTAACCAGCACGGTATAATCGTATCACCATAATATTATAACGATAACTAAAATCGTTTAATAACTTGCAGTTATTTATTTGTTTTGTAAAATGGCGAACAATCGTTAATAATCTGAAAGAAATCGCACGAAGTTAGAAGTCGAAGGACTCGACTTCCGCGTGCACACGTTGCGCGTGTGAGTGGGGGTCGACGTAACGTTGCGTAACTGGAAACAGAGAGCTCACGGAGGATAATGACACGAGCCGACGCTCGTTAATCCTCCAGCTAAAATTAGTTGCGACGTATTCTTTGCTTGCAACCGATATGCGTGAATGTACGATGATAACGAAACTTGAACACAAGCAAACACATTCCGACGCTACGTAAACGACGCGAATAATTCATTTCCTACTCTAACACCTTGTGCATTCTAATTCTGATACAGGCTATTCCGAATACTCGAACATAATCTATTTCTCTTTTAATAATTCCAATAAATATGGACAATTTTGGAAATATAATATCCATGTTAATATTTGGCTTGCGATAAGAATCTCTTACCGTCTCTCCGGCCGTCAGCACCAAGTCATCGTGCTATGTTTGCAGAATCTAGAAACCAAATCTGCGTCTATAGACGTAGACGGCTGTATCTCTGATCAACCTCGATCGACCAATTCTTAGATCGCTTTTCTTTTCTTCACGTTCCTGCTTCTTCCTATTTTTTTTTCTTTTATATACACAGCAAACGTAATATCTGAGAATCGCAGTTTTCTCCGCGATAAAAGTACAAATTTCGCAGGCAAAACGTTAAAGAAATTTTTCTTGAACCGTCGTACGGGAAGACGAGCGTCCGTTTCGATCCGCGATAACGCGCCACGCTACCTGCAACCCGACCAACACGGCCGCTGGACCTGGTTGCTGTATCTCGTTGCAAATCCACTCAGTGACCCCTATCAATGGCGAAACTTCTGCACGAGGGGAGCTGAAAGGCCTACTTCTGGCAGCTGCAGGAACAGCAGCAAGAGGCCGTGTAACTTCTCTCCACCAGCTCGTTCACGGAATTCTCTGTTTCGCTCGAAAAACTCCGAATAAACTAGCGCGTTCCGACGTTTCTCCGCTTAACCCTCAACGTGTCGCGGGATCTCGTCGTTCTCGTTTATTTCGGATGATTTGCTCGCTCGTCGAGCCACACGCGGGTCGATCTAATCTCCGATCAAGGTCTGACCTTGAACCACCTTGTCGCAAACATACACACACGTTGTATATTCGTATTTTTATGAACGTAATTAAAAAACAAAAAGAACAATCCGTTCGCAAGTATCGGCCAACAGCCAAACGTGCGAACGACGAGTACCTGGATCGAGACTTGGAAATTGTACGTTTCAAGCATAAGATTGCCCTTTTTCTTATCTAAAATTCTTATAATAATCGTATCGTTGGAAATGAAAAAGACGAATGCGAATGGAAGAAGAAACGACGAATTCTGAAATCGAAGATTACCAGTCTCCGGTTTGCCGCAAGATCGATCGTAGATATTAAAAAAGAGAAATAAAAAGGAGGTGGACGTGTATGAAGCAAGGGGCGAGAAATC